CTTCCCTCCTTATAGATGACGATCAATGCAGAAAACGATCCTTCTGCCTAAAGTGTCAGTAAGCCAGCATCCCAGCTTGCTCACTGGATGATGTGTCAGCGATAACCCACCCCCCTCGCCACCACTCAACCACCACCCCACCCCCCACTCCCCCCCCTCCACAACTCCCTCTCCTGGAGCCCCCCGGAGGGCGCGTGGGGCTGAAACACGGTGAGCTCTATTCCCGGAAAGGTGCCTGTCCCGACAGGACAAGCGGGCCCTTTAATGGGCGTCCACGGCCCGGTATAAGGCCCCCACTGTTGGGGCCGCGCCGCGTGCTACAGCACAGACATGCAAATATTTCCAGTGGTAGGCCCAAATGGAAAACACAAACACGCAACATCGAAATTAGCTCTGAGAGAGGGAGGGAGGTGGACAGTGCAGAAAAAAAGAGAGGGAAAGCCCAGTCTCCTAAAATGAAGACGCACACACACACTTGCTGAATAACACGGTGCGCTGATGAGAACAAACATGTTCATGTGTTCCCCAGATGTGCTCCGAGCGTGCCAACACACCCACACGCACAGCACCTATGTTCACTCTCTTACAGTAGGTGCACAGACTTCTGCACACAAATCATCTCATTGTTCAATAGACTGAATACACTGATTTCCTTTATTTTCATTATATACTATTGGGCAAGACATACATTTATACAACTAAACATTTAAGAGTCCTCAATGTGTCCTTTGTAGCTAATTAGAAAAAACAGATAGATAGATAGATAAAGACAGAAAGGAAGAAAGAGGGTCCTTGCAGCTCTGGTGAGTCAACACCTCAGCTGTTGCTGCACATGACTTCACGGTTAACTTCTTGGCTGAACTCGTGCAGCGTCTTCTGCCAGCCGGCCCCAAACGCCATCCTGAGGCTATGGTTACACACTCTGACGTCCACAGAGGGCATCCCAAAACCCACTCAGCCCGCTGGTCCTGGAGGGTCCAGCTGTCACCCCCCCCCACCTCCTCCCCAATGATGTCAAAGCAACGTGGGAATGACGTTAGAAGTACCGAATCGATTGATGTTGAACTGATGCAAAGTCCCCTTGATGTGTGGGAAAGCTATGGTGTCATCGTGCAGGACACACACACATCTTGCGGCTAAGTCCTGTGTGAAAACCACTTTTGGTGTTAATTCAGTGACGCCAGCCAAAAGCCTTCAGGGCACTTGTTCCATGCTTTTATTAAATGGAAGTTTTAGGTTTTGCCTTGTGAAACATGTACATGAACACACACATATTGGTGCACACAGTGGAGACTTACTGGAAGGTGCAGCGCAGGACGGGGTGGAGACTTGTGGAGGCCCCCAACCCTTCATGTTGTAGGCTGACACCTGGACATAGTAATAGGTCCCCTGTAAGGACAAGACACATGACAGTTAAGGCACCATATACCATATACATATGTATGTGTGTGTGTGTGTGTGTGTGTGTGTGTGTGTGTGTGTGTGTGTGTGTGTGTGTGTGTGTGTGTGTGTGTGTGTGTGTGTGTGTGTGTCTATCTGGAAGCTGTGTCTGTCTCCGTGCCCAGTGTGCAGACAGCAGGCCTCTGTCTCTCCTTTCTCAGCCAGATCAATCAAATCAGCCGCCGACACTTCCTGACCTCGCCTTGACCCCTGTCATGTGACAGGAGTGAGCTTTGGCTGGCAGCAGGGGTCTTAAAGGGGGGGGGGACGGACGGACCGGTTTCTCTCACAATAACAAACAACCAGTGGAGCGTCCAATTGTCTACATGCCCGCTTAAAAATGCCAAACATAAATCAGGTGGCAGGCTACCAAGCTGCTCTTTCCATCATTTCGGAGGCGGTTTTGCAACTGTTGCGTTTGAATGGTCAGCAGCCAGGACTTTGAACAAATAACAAATAAACTGTGTTTTCCGATTGTTTCTTTTTATGCAGGACCATAAGTCTTTCACCCCCCCCCATCATCATTTGGGATTGGTGGTGACTGGAGTTTGATGTATGTAATAAAAGAAGAGTCACTTGGGAGAAACCTTCAAATGTCACCAAGGCCAACATGTAAATAATATCAGGGGAAGAATAGCTACTAAATGTTCTATGGACTATCGGTCAGCACTAACAGCTGGAGAAGCTGGACCTCAGTGGTTCTTTGTGTTGTCCAGATAATGTATGATTGTATCCTTTTTATCAGGCAGTTCCCATTGACTGAGGTGGGAGCAGAGGGAATAGGTTCATGTGAAAATTGTGTAGTCGGCAAGGAAGATACATTTATACGAGTTCAAAACAAGCCTTGAATGTATTACGCAGCAGCCTTTGAACGCAGCAGATATTAGACAATACATGAGGTTATTCTAACCCTTTCATCGCCAAGACAACAATTCTGGCAGAACTTACAGAAGTGAGTCCAGTGATGTTGCCCTGCAGCAGAGCGGTGTCCTCAACAAGCATCTCACCCAGCAAAGGACTCAATGAAGGAGCACTGCTCCAGATCACTGCAAATGCACACAAACACGCCAATAAATAAGAAAATACACATATTAGAGATTTCAGAAATGCTTGTGACTCTCTCGTGACACTTTGAGATGTAAGTAGTTGGGTCGAAATGAAGCAGTGGCTCAGGCACGGTGGCTGACCTTTGTACTTGGTAACCACAGCAGAGTTGACACAGAGAGGCTCCTGGAAGTCCAACCGTAGACTGGTGCTGCTGCTGACAGACAGACGGACTGCACAGGGTGCGTCTGGAGGGTCTGGGCACACAGACAGAAAGATGGCAAGTTAACAAACAACTTAGATCCGTTAATGTGTATAATGGTGCAAGTCTATATAATTGGGAGCTAACTTTAATAAAAGCGCTAGGTCTTCCTGCTCTGTTGCACAATACACTGTTCCTTCATAATGTTTAAAAAGTCAAGTAGAGTGAGCTTGTGAAATTGAAGCAATTTACATTCAGTTATGGAATATGTGATCTATCATCTTCACAAATTAATGTTCACCCAGGCCAACCTGAGGAGCAAGGGTGTCAGCGATGAATGATTTTCATCCAAGTCCACACAACAACTGACAAGGGTTTGATTTTTTTTGCATCAAAGTGCAGATTGGTTTTAGTGGAAGGGAGGAGTGTGTGTGTGCGTGTGAGCGAGACTGCTTTCGGGGGTGGCTGTCTACTGCCACTAAGCGTGTCATGAAAGTCCTATAAAAAATTAAAGCAGGAATACAGGCGTGTTATGTTTGCACACACACACACACACACACACACACACACACACACACACACACACACACACACACACACACACACACACACACGGCTTTCCAGCGTGGAAGCCATTAACTCGGCCCAGACAGAATGCAAGCAGAAAAAAAAGGGGGCAAAAATTCAAACCCAAGACGACTGCTCGTATGATCTGAGCGGCAGTTTTGCTCTCAACTGTTCAACCATAAAAAAAGCCTTACCAGCATGCTCGAAGCCCGTCTGCATGCGTCTGAAGAGCCGGAGCCTCCACTCCCAGGCCTTCAGCTGCCTCTCGCGATCGGACCCCTCCCGCTCACAAGGACCCTCGCTCCGGACCTGAGCCTGGAGCTCCGACACCCGCTGCTCAGCCTCCTGCACCAACGTCACCAAATGCACCGATCTGCCCTCCAGACTCACAACTAGGCATAGAGAGACAGGAGGAGAGAGAAGTGAATGCGTGCATACTGTGTTAAAAGAAGAAGTAAAGTCGGCACTCCATTATTTCAGAACCACTTTGACACCCAGAAACATTCTTTCATGTTCACACATAAAAAAGACAGTTGGTTAAAAAAGCTCAAAGCTGAGCAATGCTCCACTATAAATGTTAAATGGGCTGTTTTTCCAAACCAAGATTCAAAGAGAAAATGGAAAATACTGTGAACCGACGATTCTTTTTCAAGTATCACTACAATAATGTGGAATTTTTCAGCAACAACACATGTGTTCTTGTAAAAATGATTTACCCAGCTAAATTAGAAGTTGAAATCGTGATGGTTTCAATTTATCAAGTGCAGTGGCCTTCAAAAAGTGGCTCACAAAAAGCAAGTGAAATTGCTTTAGCAGGGATTCTATTTAATGCCTTTGTTTGCCAAAATGCTGTGGCAGATTCCTCCATAAACTTCATTTAACTAAGCAGACCCTCTTTAGAGATGACATCACATAGAAAATGACACAGAAAATGGGGCAATGAAAGTGAGAGGGGCAAGAGAGGGAGGAGTATTCTTCGTTTGCGGTCACAAGGGAACACAAAATGGTGGGAGCGTGCATGGGCATCATTTTAAACTGCCATTGTAAAAGTATTTTCCTGCTAAACCTGTGGAAAAAACAGTTTAACTCATCTATTTATATCATATACTGCAGCCTCACGCAGCCTGCATGAGAGAAATGTGTTTCTGTGAGAGGGAGGGGTGTTACTAATATGTGAACAATGATGTTTACTTCAGCAAAAAAACAATTTATAGTAGATGCGATTCAGCACCCAATTAAAATATTCAAACCATGACCGTGCGGGTGATGGCTTAAAAATGATCAAAGACTGCAATACCAACATGGACAGCGCACTTTTAAAGAGGCCATACTGTGCTTTTTTTTTGGAGGGGGGTTCCCTTTCCTGTAGTGGGTTATATAGGAGTTTGTGCATGTAAATGGTCTGAATGGCTAAAATCCCTTTGAGTTTCTCTCCCACACACTGCCCCCCCCCCCCCCTGCCTATAACGCCTCTATTAGACTCCTTTGTTTACTTTCAGAACCTAGTGACATCACTATGTAACACTTGCGCTTCTATTGGCTAGCGTTCCAACACATTGAACTTTATGAGCTAAGGGGCGGGACAACTCTAAGCGGTTGACCAATCACAACAGAGCCAGCCAGCTAACCAATCAGAGCAGACTGGGCTCTGGTTTCAGACAGAGGGTGAAAAGAGGTGTTGCAGCACAGGCAGTATGAGAAAAATAAAGAGCTTTTTGAACATTAAAGCATGGAGACATGTCACAGTAGAGACACTACGTACAAATGTGAACCTGAAAATGAGCAGAATAGGGCCCCTTTAAATAAAAGTATAGAACAGGTAACATAAAGCTGTTAAGGTTAAAAAGGACAGTAGTATACTGTTCTTCTTCTTTGGTGGCTGGTCATTCTGCGAGTGTTTGGGACTGGTGTGTGTCCGTGTTTAGTCTGTGTGGTCTGTGTTTGTTCATTGTAGATTCCACTGTTGAGCGTTAGATTCCACTGTTGACAGTAAGTTTAAAGCTCCGTGTCAAAATGTCCATCTGGGTGTTTAATTCTGCGGCTCTGTCGGTGTCTCCTCAGCGACTGAGAGCTTCTCTTTGAATCCCAGCGTCTCTTCTGGGTGCCAGTTTTGTTGTTCTCTTCAGCCACTTGTGTGTTAGAGGCCATTTGTCACTTTTAAAACAGGTAATGCGAGGGGTCGGGGGGTTAGAGATAGGGCTTAAGTTAGGATCACTACCGAGGTTCCTTGGACTTGTCCTAGATGGATGGAAACAACTGCTAAAGGGAGATTTTGATTTACATTTCCAGCCTTTCCAGGGTTAGAAACTGGTCCAGATGCTGTCACAAGTGTGTATGTGTGTCTTGATTTGTCCTTATTTCACATAAGGCGGATTAAAGGGTCCTTTGTCCTATTAAACGCCACCAAGATTTATAATGTGAATATGACTTAGTTTGATTGTCTTTGTGTGCCTATGTCTCTCTGGTAACCACACACTCAAGTCAAGTATAACAATATCAATAAGCATCAGATTCAATTTCAGTCAAAGCTCAAGAAAAAGTCTTTGATGTCGATTCTCCTCAGATGGAGTTTGATTAGCAAATGCTTATAAAAATAGAGGCATTTACTTTCCTTTAATGCTGTTGTTGTAGTTCTTTCTTTAAGTCCTCTGTGTACACACACACACACACACACACACACACACACACACACACACACACACACACACTCTTACGAGTTATTCGAGTTCTTGCGAGAGCGCACAATCAAAGAGCAAACCTCAGTAAACATCACTTTCCATTCAAGTGTTTTCATTTTATGATACCTTTATAAGACGTCTGGCTCATGTGTGTGTGTGTGTGTGTGTGTGTGTGTGTGTGTGTGTGTGTGTGTGTGTGTGTTTGTGTGTGTGTGCGCACAAGTACAAACACAAACAGCCTGGGAGCCTTACTGGCGAGTTCTAATCATTAACAGAGGAAGGCTCAGCAGATCACAGACAGCGAAAAGTGCTTACGAAGATGACTAATATTGCATCATGATTACCAGCCCTTCATCTCACGTTTAATATGTTTTCACTGCCAGTGCAAAACAGAGAGTGTGTGTGAGTTGGACAGAACTTTGTGGATGAATGTGATACTGGTGTGCATTATAAAAATGGTGCTTTGTGCAACACCTACGGTATCTTTGGCGTTGACAGTGTTAACTCCCATCATATGGCTGTTGAAGCCCAAAAAACACTCCGTTCTGGTATCAGTTCTGAGATTGAAATCTACACTGGAAAATCATGATAACAGGTAGTGTCGGCTATCACTCACGTCATAACTTTCAAAGAATAACTAGCTAGGATTGGTAGAGGTCAACTACCTGGCTTTTTCCACATATCACACACGATTTTATTGGCGCAATCATCGGGAAAAACAACCTGCTTGGAGCTCAAAGCCAAGGGAGCATTTGCTAAGCTATGAATCACCTGTAGGCCAGCCAAACTGTCACATTTTACAAGAAAAAATATGATTGAATACAAGAGACTGAATACACGAGAGGAAAATTGCTCCTCTTTGTATAAAGACGTTGTGGTAACCCTATCGTAGATACTTTCTCCAGAAGGACGATGAATTGAGCTACTACAATACATTTCATGTGATCCTTATCTGTGGGGCTGCACTTGGCTTAATAGTAGCTTTGGCAACTTTTCATAACCTCCCTTTGAACACAGTCCAGCTAGTGGGTGTGCTTTGCTGTAAAATGAAAACAAATAACACACAACTGCCATTACAGTGAGCATAATAGCAAAGTGTGTGTATCTTTTCTAGATGCTTAAATACCAGATAGGATGCAAGAAGTGTTCAAAGTATTCTTCAAACCATGAGCACAGAATCTACCCTAGAGACTGTCCAATGGAAAATAGTTTTGATTGATTGTTTAGCGTTAAAGTTATTATGTTTTGTTCCTCTACTCACAGTGGGGGCTCTCCTTGGCACCAGCTCGCAGTAGCAGCTTTGCCATGGGCACATTGTTGGTCATGATAGCGATATCGAGGGGCAGGAGACCCTCGCTGTTTGGGGTGTTGTGGTCCAGCTCCTCCAGACTGTACTGGGACAGAAGCAGCTGAACCAAGTCCATCTCCTGGTGCTCCACCGCCTCGAACAACGCTTCATTACTCTGGAACTGAGATACAAAAGAAAGTGAAAAGAAATGGAATAGCGTTAAAAGCTTACGTTTTGATACGTCGGGCATGTCAGCTTGTATCAATGGACAGGTCAACAAACAGAACGTTTCTAAATATATTTTCTGTCTCCATTGACAACGAGTGGGTGTATGATGTCACTACCTTAGGTTCTCTTACGAACCAAGTCTATATGTTTTCCCTGACTATTTTTAGACTACATTAATCCCGAGCTTATTTTTTTCCCCTTGTGTCTCTTACTATGGTGGTTTTGCGCAGCCTCTCTTTGTCTCCTCCCCGTCCCGACACCACACTGTCCTCCAGGGCAGGGGGGTTGGTGCCCACACGGAACTTTCCAGACAAGTTGCGGTACAGTCGTCGAGCCGCGTTTGGCGAGGACAGGCTTCCCGACTTGCGGGCCGAGGCCGGCTGGTGGGCCTGGTCCCCCCTCATGGGCTGCGTCATCTTGGGAGAGTCAGCCCTGAAGGAGAGATGAGAGGGTAGGAGACATGAGGGATACTGTTGGTCATAAAAAAGCGGACTATGACATTTTAAACCGTACATGACCATGTGAAGCTTGATGAATTCTTGAATCCACAGAGTTAACATATTTAGAGAATAGCACTCCACTCTTCACACTCAAGTTCAGAAAAAGCCGGTCCTCTTTCCGTCTTTATAGCTTTCCAGTTTATCTCCATAAAACAAACACTGACTTGCCTATTTTAATTAAATGTTGCTAATGAAACCTACTAAAATAATTGATGCTGTATATTGATGGAGGGATAAAGGAAAGGGACATGAAAGGAAGGAAGGCCAGCTGCTTGGTTGACTCACTTGGAGCTAATTCTGGTCTGGAAATCAATGCTAATCCATCCAATAACATCAAAGGGTCATCATTTATACTCAACAGGAAACCCTTTTAGATTCTGGTTCTTGAAAAACATCAATAAAACATGTGTGATGAATCTCGGGATGAATGTGTCAATACAGTTTGAAGAAGGCATCAGGGCCTCACAGGACTCACATGGTACTATATATCAGTTATGCATATCAATGAATGAAACATAATCAACGCCAAGTGTTCAACTAGCATTTTGGATTGGGACAACTTAAAGCTAAGTAATGCAACACCAACCTATGACCCCCTCTCACAGGTACATACATTAAAAGGTCAAGGTTAGAGTTAGTTACTTGATTTACTTTTTTGCTTTTGTGGGGTTAACCCTAACCCTAAAGAGATGTCTTCAACCCCCTGGAAAAACACCTTTTTGAGAACTGATCTATGGCATTGTGATAAACTACACTGATCCCCCAGATGACCATCACGTTGGCATTATCAGTTCCCAGTAACAGTAAGCTGGCGCTGCTCTGTAACGTCAAGTCTTCCTGATTGGTTTCAAAGGAACAGCATCTCTTGCCACTGGTGTCTTGGCATGAATGGTATGACGACTATGCCGGGCCTCTCCATTCTGCCATGGGAACTATGTAGATCACCGTGTTTTTCTAGGGGGAGTCTGGTACGTGGCGTTCACACACACTCGACTGCTGAAGGAAATGTCAGCAGGACTCTCCAGGCGATGGGGACAGACTCCTTGACGGGTCTCACCAAACAGAAGCAGAGAGATAAATGAATTCCTCAAGGACGCACTTTCAACACCTTTCCCTCCTTCTGATACTCTCCAAGCATCTTCTGAACTTGTTTCAGTTCTTATCATTTCTTTGCCTCTCCTTCTCGGTTCTGTTCTTTCTTCTTTATCTAGGCCTTTTGCTCTTTCCTCTTATCTCCTGATTGCCTCTCATTTCCCTGCCTCCTTCCCTCACTCCCTTAAGCTTCTGTTCTTGCCTTGATTTTCTCTGATTCATCTTTTCATTGCAGTATGAATATAATCAAAGAATCTTTCAGGACATACTGTACAGTTATTCCACTCGAAACATCCACACTCAATTCGATAACATTTCTTGAAAGTAAAACGGTTCAGATGTGAACTGAGAGTAATTAGGTAATGAGTTATATATCAATTTTGAGACATGTTTTAAAAGAATGAGGAATTGATTATAACCATATTTGATTTGAAAGGGAGCAGCTACTTATTTTGGCCTTTTTCAACATAATAAATTAAAATACTTCTCATTAAAAGACCATAGACCGAAGCCCTGCAGCAGTCAACATGTTTGTCTTGAGCCACGTGTCCTTGAGAAATGCTTGCTTATTATCAGTCACTCTGGAAAACATCATCAGTTAAATACCGCAAAAGTAAATGTTGTTCTTAAAGTGCAATGGTTTGAAAAGGGGCAGGGAGAAGTTGAGGAAAGTAAATAAAGTTTGAGTTACGTTGGTCCATCATGCCATATGCCAAGAAGTATCACACGGGCCAAGAACAGATTTGTCAAGGTGAGAACATCTGTAGGAAAAATGTTATTTATACTCCCGCTCCGCTATGGACGTGTGAGCCCACATGAGCATACACACACACACACACACACACACACACACACACACACACACACACACACACACACACACACACACACACACACACACACACACACACACACACACACACACACACACACACACACACACACACACACACACACACACACACACACACACACACACACACACACACACAAGCCCCCACCCGGACACATGCAGATTGTACAACAGCTGACGGCGGCCCACATAGTAGACTTTAAAGCAGCTTGAAGCCCCCGCAACAAGCCCTTTTTCACGGGCCGATACACCTAAAATACCCCCGATCCCCGTCCCTTCCCGCTCCGTCCCATCCATCTCCACTCCATCCCGTAATAGAGGCCTTATTTTAGACATCCTCGTGTTCCCGGCTGGGCCTAACCTATTCCAGGGTTCCAGATAAAGCGCGGCAGGTATTTGGAATAATTTTTCCATGGGCCTGGCCCGGAAGATAAAACAAGAGATATATTTGTAATGCGTGTGCCGGTATCCCATTTCAAAGAGAAAGCCCATTGGAATCCGGCCCCGGGCTTATTGTTATTTCCCTGAGATGGAACAGACAACTTTTTTTCTGTCGGCAGCACGGTGCCCCATCACTCTCTGACGACATTAGGGAGAGTATAACACGGTGTGTGTGACTGTGTGCAGATCTGTGTGTATTTTCAAAGCTTCCTACACGTGAGATTGGGATGTCATTTCCCAATGACATGCCCCCTACTACTGCGGGGAAAGATGAAAGGCAATCATGATACAAAAAGAAAAGAGAAAAATTATATTAATTGTCAATTCTCAGAAAGAGAATATGGGATTTCAGTAGATTTATCCAAACTATAAGCTGATTGTCATATTATCACATTGTGTTGAGGCCATGATTGTAGCTGCAAATCTACTGTTGTTAATGCTGACCATGTCTTTTTTGATAAACAATAAAGAGAAACCATCCATTGAACATTTCAATGTGTTCTCTGTGACTGCTTCACAATGAAATCAACTCCATATTTTACTATTTCAATATTTTTTATGTGAACCAGCTAAAGTAAATGTTCAGTTTGCACTAGCTGTGAGACAGCTCTGAGGCCTATCAATAAGAAAAATGTTGGATTACATGTGCTGTATCTGTCCTTTTACTTTTCTATTCTTCAGAAGACTAATCCATCCAGCCGCAGGAAAGAGGACTCAGGCACTTATAATTAATACTACTATATAGACAGGTAATTATACTTTATTTTGAAAAAACTTGAATGATGACCATGCGTAGTATCAAAGCACGGCCTACAACTGTGAGAATAATCTGGATAAAAGACTAGAGATCCAAAACAACAACACACATCACAGACAGTCTATGCCACACAATTTCCTACACTTTTACCAGGTTCAGGAAACAGGAAGCAGTTGTTCTTAGAGACCAAAGTCTCAACCAAAAGGCTTCATGTTTGGCCCCCGATCAATCCCACATCAAATACAGTGAGACTGCATCAACCCGACAAACAATCAACACCCCCAAACTGCAAACAGTCATACCCAGCATTCACTTTATTAGCAGTATCGTCCTATTTACACAAACAGCTCCAGACAGTGAGTCACATGTAAACAAAGACTACATATAAAATACGCAGTCTAGACAATTATTGACTAAAAGCCACAATGGGAAAAACCTGGGATTTCATGTTAAAAGAATATAGCTGGTGGTTCCAGCATCGCAGAATTTCTCAGATTTTTGTGTTGAGCTAAAAAGCAGCCACAAGTATGCACATAACAGCTCATAACAGTTGTGTGCAGAGGGAAATCTCAGAAACACTTCAAAGAAAATGTGAAAAGACTGACTGAGTGGAAAATGTTGCTTAGTCTGAATACTCCCAGTTTACTGTATGTTGCAACATATCAATGACACGGTCCAAACCGTAGGAAAGAACAAATCCATCCAACCTGTTGTCAGCAGTACACAAACTAGCAGAGACAGATAAACACACTGACATCTGACTGTCAATAAGATTAGATCCACAACTTTGCATATTAGCATCTTGGTGAGCTATCTCTCTTTTCCTGTTTACTTTTATTTATCTATTTAATTATTCACATCATTATTTTATCCCCCTCTGCCTCTGAAAGGAGAAAGGAGAAATGCTTAGGACAAATGGTAACTTCAAAATAGTTTCTGGCCACAGTCTCCTGCTTCTATAAATATAGATAACGTTAATCTAAACTATAAACAATGGAAAATATCTTTACAACGCACGCACAGGCACAACGACTGTAAAGCTACACGTTTTGTTGCTTAGTGGGGTACCTACAGACATGTGTTTACGTGCATAAGCATGTACATGCCAGAGAAAGACATTACATGGGCTGATGCCCAAATTAGCTACAGCAGCACAGAGAAAGATATGTGGATAGTTAGAAACAATAGTAAAATTAAGTTAGTGCAACACAATGCATCCATATATGGACCTCTACTGTATATAACCATGTTTGTCCCAAAGAACTTCAAGGCATGAAGTTTGGAAGAATAAACCTTTTAAAGGGGCCCTATTATGCTCATTTTCAGGTTCATATTTGTATTCTGTGTCTCTACTGTGACATGTCTCCATGTTTAATGTTCAAAAAGCTCTTTATTTTTCTCATACTCCCTGTGCTGCAGCACCTCTTCCCACCCTCTGTCTGAAACCAGAGCTCAGTCTGCTCTGATTGGTTAGCTGGCCGGCTCTGTTGGGATTGGACAACTGCTTCGAGATGTCCCGCCCCTTAGCCTATCACGTACAATGTGTTGAAGCGCTAGCCAATAGATGCGCGAGTGTTACATAGTGATGTCATTATGTTAACTTGCTCTTGTATTGCTACCACTTTCAATACAATATGTTTTAATAAGTATTGTGAATCAAGTTGTTGGTTCATAGATTTTGTGCAGTCATTCATAAAAAAAGGAACACAGACATGCTGATCAGGATCCCTTATATCTATCACTAATGAGGGCTTTCTACAACCTAATAGCATGAAAGTATAGAAAATAT